TGGAATGGAAGTAAGCAATGAGGAAGTAGAATTATTGAGATTGTGAGATGGAGTAATTGAAATTGAGTTGCTGATGGTGGAAGATGGATTAGGAATACTTGTATTAGTGTCCTAAAATAAGGAACTAGGAGCTGACTTGTTAGTGGTGAAGGAAGGATTAGGAACAGAACAATCCACTGTAGGGGAGACTTTACTAACTATACCATTGGAGAATGGAATAGACACAAAAGGAAATATAGTAGAAGAACTATCAGGAACTGTTGCTTTGAGTAAAGAAGAAAAAGAACTGGACAAGGGTTGACCAAAACCAGTAGCAAAAGGGAACTTTAGTTCATTGAATTGAACATTAGGAGTAATGAAATTTTTTCCCTCTAAACTAAGGCACTTATAACCTTTATGAACTAAACTATAACCCAAAAAAACACATTTAGAAGAGTGGAAATCCAATTTGTGTTTATTGAAATCTCTAAAAAATGGAAAACAAGCACAACCAAAGATTTTTAACTCAGAATATACATAACCTGCTATACAAAAAATGTAAAGGCATAGATGCATGGGGTAGTAAAGTAAGACCAGTTTCTACTATATGTCTATGCTTCCTTTCACTTCTCCCATTTTGTTGATGCACATAAGTACAGGAATGTCTAAGCTGGATTCCAACAGTGTTAAGATAAGGTATCAGCCTCTATACTCTCCTCCTTGGTCAGACTGTAAGGTTTTGAGTTTACATCCAAGCTCTCTCTCAACTAGATGGTGAAATTTGATGAAAGTAGATTGGACTTCAGCTTTGGTTCTTAAGGGAAACATCCAGGTGAACCTATTGTAGTCATCAATGAAATGAATGTAATATTTGAAGCCTTCTAAGGAAGCTACTGGTGCTGGTCCCCAAATATCACTATGAACAATTTCAAGGGGTTGTGTAGCTCTAGAGGTGGAACTAGGAAAATGATTTCTATGTAGTTTTCCTAATCTATATGGATCACAAAAATTCAAGGATAAAGCAGGTTCTGAAGGTCATGGATGAATGTGAGGTAAAATCTTACTTAGCACATCAGAATGAGGGTGTCCTAGGCGATTATGCCAGAGGGACAGTGTATTGTTCCTAGTGTTGCTAGCATGGAAAACTATAGGGTTAGCTGCTATAGGATAATGTTGGAGTGTGTCAGATTTTGCAACAGCAGAATTGTGAGCAAGATTTTCAGAAATTTCAGAATTTACAGCAACATAATCAGATTTTTCAACAGCAGAATTGTGAGCAAGATTTTTAGACATGTCAGAATTTACACCAGCATCTAACACAGAAGTAGCAACACCAAACACAGAAGCAATATGCAAAACAAAACAAGGATCAGATTTGATCATATTAGAACAATCAGCAATATCAGGAGTATCATCAGGAATTAAGTCAGAATTATCAACTATATCAAAAGTTTCATTCACATTTTCAGAATCAGTGCAATTAGAACTATCAGTTTTAGTAACAGTAACATCAGGAACAACATCAGTATCAGAATCATAATTTACACAATTTGAATCAGAATATTGCAAACATTGTATCTTATTAATAGCATCAAGATTACAAATATTTGCACATGAGATAGGATTTTGATTACTACAAAGTAATTGAGAAACTTGCAACCCATGATCGCGATTAACTAAATCATTTAGTGGACTGCTAGTCAGTATATTACAGTTGGCATTAGCAGTTTGAAAACTATTCGTAGGATTAATTAACTGAGGTAAGCTATGAGTATACTGACTATCAGTGCCTACTGACTTTTTTGAAAACAAAGTATTACAAAACCTAGGACTCAAAGCAGCTGACTTTTATAGACCATCAGTAGTGTAACCAGAAGAAAAGCAAAGAGGTATGTGCAATTGGTACAGACCAGCCTTAAGTCCTCCCTGCAGTAACACTGCCTTGGTAGCCTTGTCCTTAACAACACAACAATCAGAGTCAAATTCCACAGTTATTTGATTATCTTTAGTGAACCTAGAAATGCTAAGAAGATTTTTAGTTATTCTAGGAACACACAACACATTGCGCAAATGTAAACACTTAGAGTGAAATGAACTAGGAAATAAAGTTGAACCTATATGAGATATGTGTAGAGACTCACCGCTGCCAACTTGTAGTTATTCAACCCCATCATAATTTTTGCTGGAAGTTAGCCGAGTAGGATCAGGGGTAACATGGTCAGTAGCTCCTAAATCCATATACCAAGGTGGATTAACAGGAGCAGTTGCTGGGATAGTTATATGTGTTTGAGGGTAATGGTTCAAGGAAGGTGTGGACACAAGAAAAGCTTGGTTAGGAACTGAATTTTGGTATGAACCTTGCTGACTAGGGACATGAAACCCTTACTGTTGATGAATGAAAGATGGCTTGCCTCACAGATCAGTGTGCTGTTGTTGAGATAGCAGGTTAATTGGAACTTGTAACTGACTGAGATGATGAATCGTAAGATCCATTTGAAGGAACAATACCATGCTGACTTCCAGACTGAGAACCATAAGAACTGCCAGCATTATAGCTTTGCTGATTTCCTGATTGCAGTCCATAAGATCCATTATGAAATCCTAGGTTTGGACGATGTACATAACTAAAGGAACCAGAGCCACCTTGTCCTATCATGCTCCCTTAAGGAGGTACACCAGTGTAAGTAGAGTTGTAACGGTGATAGCAGTAAGCTGCTGTGTGGCCAATTTTGCTAAAAACTTGACAGATATGCTTGTCTCTGCCATTACTTCTTCCTTTGCCTCTCCCCAAAACAAGTCTATATGAAGGATAAACGTGACCTGAAGTTCCACCAAACTGTCCAAAGTGCGAGCCAGGATCAATAGAAGTGAACTGGACTCCTTAAGGAGCAGACCAATTAGAATAATTCTGAGATCCTATGGGAGGATTAGGTAAGCTTTGCATTTGAGACTGATCATGTGCAACCAAACCAGATGTACCAGTAGATGCAGAGGAAACATTAGTATTAACTGGTAACAAATTCTGACCACTTAAACCACTTGAATTCCCAAGAGAAGCAACATTAACAAAACCTCCATGAAACTCTAGAGAGTTAAACCTATCAAGCTGCAACTCACATTTCTGTAACAAAAACTGAGCCTCCTGCAAAGTAACTGGATCAATCTTAGGCTCTACCCTGGAGGTCAGATTGACAAGCACAACATCAAACTTTGGACCTAAACCATCTAAAATGTGTTGCAGAAGATCGTCATCTGAGATCACTTGACCACTAGCAGACAAGCTTTCAGCAATGCCTTTCATCTTCTTTACATACTCATGAATATTCAAATTACCTTTCTGAGTTATTTGAAGCAAATTCTTCAAGTGTAAGGCTCTAGCCTTTGACTCAGTTACAAAATCAGCTTCAAGTTTAAACCATACTTCAGAGGCAAACTGACACTTTGAAACAAGAGTGAACATGCACTCAGAAATTGAGGCTAGAAGCCAAGTAACAAGGAACTTGTCAGTTCGTTTCCAAGTTACATAACCTGGATTCAGCTTTTCTTTGGCTAGGGTTTCAGATGACTTACTACCACTCAACTCAATTGAACAAGAAACAGAAGTAATAAAGGGAGCTGGATAGGGAATTAAACTTGTCAGATGTTCTTCGAGTTCGTGTGCTCCCACGAAAAAAAGAACTTGCGATCGCCAGAATCAGTAATTGTCAGTGTAGTTGTCTCTTGTGAGTTTGGGAGTAATGACCTGGAGGCTTGACGAAAAGACCGAGAGTTGAGGACTCGCTAAACTATTCTGCATTTTCTCCGTTGGAGCTGAGGAAGACATCCATTGTTAGGATCGTTGCCATCGACGCTTGTCTCTAGCTCTGATACCAAGTGGAACTGAAACTGAAAAATAGAGATTGAAAGAGTTCTTGAAACATTTAGAACTCATTAATTACTTCTTTTGAATTTGATTAAAAAAAAGTGAGCTGAAACAGAGCTCTCGTTTATAGACAAGAATAGTTTTTGTCAAAAGAGTAAACCCAACTCAGTTGATGAAAAGTAAAGTTTCACTTTACAAAACGACACCGTTCATTCATTTGTGATCTGTAGTTTTTACAAAACTGCTATTTCTTCAGTCTGGCTAACACAAACCAAAGAGAATGATGACTTTGTGTTGTACTGAAACCGAGCGGATATGTATCATGACATGTCATATTTGTGTTCTTATTTTTATTTATATTTATCAAATATACTCTCAAAACCAGGGGCGGATGGAAAGTGTATTAAGGGTGGGCCATGACCCACCCTCAATTTATAAAAAAAAATAATTAAATACATTATCTTATTTACTTTGATTTTGGCCCACCCTTAATTTTTATTGTAAAATATTAAAAAATTATGGCCCACTCTCAATTTTGGAATTGAAAGTCTTGGCCCACTCTCTCCTTTAGTACTAAAAAACTTGCTCACCGCCCACCTTCAATTTTTTAATGAAACGTGTGAAATTATAATCTTCCTCTGCAGTTGCAATTTGCAAACCCTCAGCAAGTGTAAGTCAGTGCGGTGGTCGCTGGTGTCTTCCACAACTCCTGTGCTGGATTGGTCCTCTCCCTAATTCCTCTTCAACAAAATTCTATCAGTTAATTTTTCTCTGGTTAGTATTTTTTTCTTTGTGTATAGTGTTTTTTTGTTATTTGTGTGTATTAGTATAATAGCATTGTGCATTGAATTTTGTATTGAGAAAACTTTTAGGAAAAAAGGGGAAGTTTTTAGATTCTAATATTTTGTGATAGGTAAATGATTTCTTTGTGGTCCCAAAATTTGGAAGAAAAATAATATATAGACAATAGAAATAGAAATATAGATAGAATCAAGGAGGGTTTTATTTTTATGTATTGTTTAAATCTTTAAGACTTTAAGTTGATGATTAAAAAACTTTAAGTTGGAAAATTTAGAATTTCTATAGTTATTATAGAATGCAATGAGTGAGTTAATTTATTTCTTTGTATTTATATAATTTTATTTCTTTGTATTTAGATATGGAAAAATATTTTAAAAGAAAGTCAATTGCTGAGACATCTCAACTTTGTTCTGGTGTCAATGATCATGAAAACCAACCTTTTTCAAAGAAAAATTGCTTCGAAGTTGACTTGGAAAATCTTCCTTTTGATCCTGGATTTCGACCAAGAATTACGTTTTATCATCCTAATGTTCGAGACCAAGTCAGAATGCGTTATCTACAAAAGGGTCCTTGTCAACCTCGTAACCATAAGTTTCCCAAATCAAAATCTGGTGATCATGAACGGAGTTTCCAATGTTCTTGGTTTGACAAATATCCTTACTGGTTGGAATATAGTATTGAGAATGATGCTGCATATTGTTTATGTTGTTATCTTTTCAAACCAGATATAGGTGAGCAAAGTGGTGGTGATTCTTTTGTTCTTGATGGGTTTCGCAATTGGAAGAGACTTGAAAATTTTAAATATCATATTGGAGGTCCTAACAGCTATCATAATCAAGCTGTGAAAAATTGTCAAGCTTTGATGAACCAAAAGCAGCATGTAAGTACAATTATTAATAAGAAATCTGACCAACAGCGAGAAGATTATCGTATTCGGTTGAAAGGATCAATTTCTGCTAGTCGGTTTCTTCTTCGGCAAGGATTGCCTTTTCGTGGCCATGATGAGTCTGTTAATTCAATGAATCGGGGAAACTTTCTTGAACTTTTACACTATACAGCTGAGCAAAATGAAGAATATAGATTAGTCGCATTGGAGAATGCTCCTGGACATGATAAATTGATTGCTCCTAGTATCCAAAAAGATATAATCAATGCATTTGCAGTTGAAACCGTCAACAAACTAATTAGTGATCTTGGAGATGCTTTTTTTTCTATACTAGTTGATGAAGCTCGTGATGTATCCAACAAAGAGCAGATGGCAATTATCTTACGTTATGTAAATAAAAAAGGATGTGTTGTTGAGTGTCTATTGAGCATTATGCATGTCACGGATACGACTGCTTTGTCACTAAAGATGGGAATCGAATCATTGTTCTCTAAATACAATTTGAGCATATCAAGATTACGTGGACAAGGTTATGATGGTGCGAGTAATATGCGAGGTCAGTTTAATGGGTTAAAAGCACTTATATTGAAAGATAATGAATATGCCTTCTATGTGCATTGTTTTGCTCACCAACTTCAATTAGCACTTGTAGCTGTGGCAAAAAAGGATACAAATATTGAGAGACTTTTTTTGAAAGTTTCTTGTGTGATAAATATTGTTGGATGGTCACCTAGACGTAGGGATCTTCTTAATGAGAAACAAGCATTGAAGGTGAAAAAAGCTATTGAAAGTGGTGAGCTTTCAACAGGACAAGGTCTTAATCAAGATACTAGTCTTAAGCGACCAGGGGAAACACGGTGGGGTTCACATTATGGGACTTTATTGAGCTTGATTAATTTGTTTTCATCTGTTATTGAAGTGCTTGAGGATCTTACTGAAAATTCTGATAATCGAGTTGAAGCAAGTGATTTGGTGGATTATATGACTTCTTTTGATTTTGCTTTTAACCTGCACATGATGAAAAACATTTTGGGAATCACATTTGAACTTTCACAAGCATTGCAAAGGAAGGATCAAGATATTATAAATGCTATGTCTTTGGTTCACTTGTCAAAAAGAAGATTATTGTTGATAAGAAATAACGGATGGGATAATCTACTTGATGAAGTTTCTCATTTTTGCATTGCTCATAATATAGATATGCCAAATATGCAAGAGAAATTTGTTGCACGAGGGAGATCGCGGCGTAATGTTCAAGAGATGACAAATTTATTTCATTATCGTGTTGAGTTGTTCTATGCCATAATAGATTTGCAACTATCAGAGCTTGACAGTCGTTTTAATGAAGGTAATACAAAATTACTTATTTGCATGGCCTCCCTAAATCCAAGTGATTGCTTTCAAGCATTTGATAAGGGAAAATTAGTTTGTTTTGCTCAATTTTATCCACTTGAATTTTCTTCTACTGATCTTATGGCACTTGAACTTCAACTTGATAATTACATTGATGATATGCGCTCAAATAGTGATTTTTCAGAACTAAATGATATTATCAGTCTTGCTCAGAAAATGGTTGAAAAGAAGAAGCATCTTATTTACTCATTGGTATATTTGCTCATCACATTGGCTTTAACCTTACCAGTTGCAACTGCAAGTGTAGAGAGGGCATTTTCTGCTATGAAAATTGTGAAAACTCATTTACGCAATCGGATGGGAGATCAATTCTTGAATGATAGTCTAATTCCATACGTTGAGAAAGATATATTTGACAGTGTTGATAAAGAGATGGTCATGCAACGATTCCTCAATATGAAGCCCTGCCGAGGACAATAGTAAATGTAATTTTTTTTTTTGTGACAATATTGACTGGAAAATAGAATACGAATGTTATATACAATTGATTTTTATTTGGCCCACCCTAGAAGAAATTTCTGGATCCGCCCCTGCTCACGGTCAAGCCCATATGTTGGGTCATGCCTATTATTGGAGGTAATTGTTAGCTCTAACTCCTCACCCACTGGTCAAACACTCGGCTCAACTAAACATGGGCTCTGATACCATAACAGAATTTAAAGTGGGCCTTACTCCTTACCCAATAAGGCATTATTGAATGGGAGGATTACCCCCTCTTATAAACTAGTAGGTTTAAGGGTGCCTAGTCCGTGTGGGACTCTAAACACTCCTCCTCACAGTCAAGCCCATATGTTAGGTCATGCCTATTATTAGAGGTAGTTGTCAGCTTTAACTCCTCACCCGCTAGTCAAGCACTCAACTCAACTAAACCTGGGCTCTGATACCATGATAGAATTTAAGGTGGGCCTAACTCCTTACCCAATAAGGCCTTGTTGAATGGGAGGATTACCCCCTCTTATAAACTAGTAGGTTTAAGGGTGCCTAGTCAGTGTGGGACTCCAACAGGCTCGGCTCGATTACATCCCTATTCACATCTAGGTTGAATTACTAAATTACTTGTAAATTTTGTATTTTAATGAAAATTTAAACTAGCATGTAAAAGGTAATTGATTATAATTACAAAGCACAATAAAGGTATATAAGACCAATGAATCCAAGTAAACTCGCATGCAACTTAAAGTATTGCTTTTTGTAGGAACGGACGTTTAACTCGCCCCACCCCCGAGTAGAAGAAAATTCCCTATCCCCAAGGACAGTGATAGAGTTATCCCTGTCCCGCCCCACAAACTATACATTTATTAAGAATTTTATATTTTTTCCTTTATTAGATTTTGTATAAAGTTAGCATCCCACGATTTAAGAATTTTAAGTCATGTATCAAATTTTGTGATTGTTATCTTATATTTATTATTGTATATTTTAATTATGGAATAAAAGTAACTTAAGATGAAATGGTATGATTAATATTAACTTATACTATTATAGGTGATAATTTAATCCATTTACTAATGTTTTATTCTTTTTGTTATATTTCTTAATTCCTATTGTTAATTTGTTATACATATTCGGCGGCGTTTGGATCATATAATGTTTTACTATAGGAAGATGTTATATTAACGGAAAGTTAGATCACATTTAAGATTACTGGCAATGTTTAAAAAATGTGTTTTATTGGTTCGAATAAATTGGTTAATAATATATTTGATTGGGAGGATAAATGGGTGGGTATGTTATATAGATTACTAAATTACCTTTCTTTTTAAATATTATTTTTTTTGAATCATTTCTTTGAACCCTCTACATTTGAAATTTTGCTAAAACACCCCAGCCACATAAAACTTTAATTTGTAGCAAAATCACCCCCACCCACTCCAAGCCACTGCCGACAACTAGCCACCACCATTGGTTGCCACCACCACTGGTCGCCACCAATAGTTGACGAAATGGCACAGATTGGTCATATATGGCCAGCTGTGCACCGGCAAAGCCATTTCTGACCATGGGTCACAAATCCATGGCCTTTTCACAACCAAAGATGTAGCCGTGAAACAGCCACAAATCTAGCCGTGAAAAGGCCAAATCTTTGGCCATGAAATGACGAATGTTTCACTGCTAAGATCTGTTGGCCATTTCACGGCCACATCTTGTCCATGGAACGGCCATAGAAACAACTAGATCTAGCCGAAAAAGGCCAATCGTGCGCCATTATGGTGACTAACGTCGGCAACCAACAGTGGTGAGTAACTGCCAATGGTAGTCTTGGGTGGCTGGGGATATTTTGTTAATTTTTAAACTTTTTGTGTTTAGGTTGTTTTAGCTAATTTCTCAAATGTAAGGGTTGGGTAATTGTTATCTGGTAGACATTTGAGAGCAATTGTGTCCGAAATGGTTTTTAATTAAGGGCAAAATAGGTATAAAAATCATATTACCCAGTAAAGTTTTAATAACATCCCTAGGAGAGGGTACAGATTGGCCCCCACATTACCAACAGTAAACGCTATTTGCAATAAAAGATTCTCATAATATTTTATTACTTGCAAACCAAACACCAGAATCTTGCAAAATATTATAAACAAAGATTACTCCCGTTATCTTATGTTAACCATGCATGCAAGCCTCAAAAGACTCAAGCAAGAAACGACATCCCTCTGTGTCATTTTTTTCTTATTTTCAATTCAGCTAACATTGTCCACGTGAGCTTTTTCTTCTTCAACTCAGGAAGCGTTGGCTGTAACGAGAAAAGATTCCTACTTAATTGAAGAGTTCAAATAGAAAGTTTTGTGTTTGTTTGTTATTCTGATGAATGGTAGAGATTTAAAGTTGACAATGATCGTAACAAACTTTCCTATATATTGTAAAGAACTGTATCTTTTGTGTATGGAAAAATAGTTACTCATTTTTTAGAAACGTTTCAGCTATTACTCTGTTTTTGAGTTCTTTATATGGTATCAGAGCTTCTCGACAAATGTCAATGGCAGATCCAAAAACTCCTTAATTTTTAGCCTTCAACCCAGAAGGAAAAATGGTGAACTCACTTTCATCCTCAGCACTCAACAATGCATTACCTACTATCACAGTGAAACTAGGCGAGAAAAACTATGGCTATTGGAAATCACAAGTCTTTCCAACCTTGAAAGCAAACGAATTAGGAGGATTTGTGTCAGGTGAAAAACTTTGTCCTCCTTCTTTTATCCTTTCTGAAACTGATGAACCAAAGAAGACAGTAAATCCAGAATATATCTTATGGAAAAAAGATTGATCAATTTGTGTTCAGTTAGTTAATGTCCTCCATCTCTGAAAAATGTTTAGGCTTGTAGCTAACTATGAAACCACATGTGAAATCTGGCACACTCTAGAGATGCATTTTCTAACAAATTCTAAGGCTAAGATTCTGCTTCTAAGAAATCAATTAGAAACCACAAGAAAAGAAAATTCCAATATTAACGAATATGTGCTAAAAATGAAAGAGATTGCTGGATCCTGAACCACAAGCGGTGTGACGGTGACTGATGAAGACTATTGTTATATTTGCTTGATGGACTTGGACCGGAGTATGATGCCATGGTAGCAACCTTAACCGCTAGAAGTAATGAAGTATCACTGCAAGATGCGCAGTTCCTATTGCATAAACATGAAATGAGGATGGAGAAACAACACTCAGCTTATATAGGATTCCATGAAGTTGTCGCCTTCATTACAAACAAATAAATTGTTAACTCACAACCTCAACCAGTCATGTCAATTTCAAACACCTCAAAGCAGCAACAAAATCAATTTACACTCCTCACAGAATCAGAATGAGCCGAAGAACTCCTATCAGCTTGCTCCAAATTTTCAAACCTATACTCCAAATTTTGGTTGAAGTAGAGGAAGAGGAAGAAACTTTGACAAACCACAATTGTTTTGCCAATTGTGTAGGAAGAATGACCATTTGGCGCTCCAATGCTACCATCGCTCTGATACCTCATTTCAAGGTAATCAAAATCACAAGCCTTCTTTTGGTTTTGAGTATAATTCATCACCACAACCTAATCAGAATTTAGGTCATGCTCAAGCTTATCTTGCCAATACCCAACCTGGTTACTTCAATTATTACTCCAACCAACCTTTCACTAATTCACCTCCAACTATGTACTCTCAAATGACTCCTCAGAATGTTGTACCAAACAACCACTCACCATCTTAGATCAACATGTCACAACAGCACTCTGGTAGTTCAGGGGTAAATCAACTGACACAATTCTTTGGAGCAAAACAATCCAATCCAATAGCAACACCTCTCATAGTAGTAGACCCTAACTGGTTTATTGATTCTGGAGCAACTCATCACATAACTCCTAATCTTCAAAACCTCTCTCTCAAAAATCAGTACGCTAGATCAGAATCCTTGCAAGTCGGCAGTAGCCAATGTCTGAATATTTCTTATACAGGTTTGACTACTCTCCCTTCCTTTTGTGTTGACAGATCCTTACACCTCAAAAATATTCTTTGTGTTTCACATGTGACAAAAAATCTGGTTAGTATATCCAAAATAACAAGGGACAACAACGTTTTGGTTGAATTTTTTGTCGATACTTGTGTTATTAAGGACAATGCTTCACAGGTGGTTCTTCTTAAGGGCTTCAAGCATAATGGCTTATACCAGCTTAATGTTCCCACTGGAAATGGTGTAAGTCAGCAAGATGTGTCCATTCATCCAATTCCTCTCAGTCCAATCTGTCACAAGCCTTAACCACCCCTTCAGCATCTTCTCACAATCTGATGGCTACCCTTGGTTGTTCGACAAAGTTAGCAAGTGAATTAGTTTCCCACAATAAATCTAGTGTAGTTGAAAATAAAAGTCAGCCTTCATCACATACTAGTGATAGTGATCTCTGGCACCAGAGGCTTGGTCATCCTCATTTTTCAATTCTAAAATGTCTTGTTCCAGCATTGAATGTAAAGAATAATACAGTAAATAAAACAAAGTTTTGTGAAGTCTGTCAATATGGCAAACTTCATCAAAATTCCTTTCCACCTTTTGTTACTCAATCATCGAATCCCTTTGAGCTGATTTTTGCTGATGTTTAAGGACTTGCGCCTATAGTTTCTGCTATAGGTTTTTGGTATTATCTCTTGTTTGTTGATGACCATACTAGATACTCATGGATATACCCTCTTAAAGTAAAATCTGAAGTTACCACTGTTGTTCAGCAATTCATTCAACTTGTGTCACAACAATTTAATAGTAAAATAAAGGTGTTTCAATCTGATTGGGGAGGCAAGTTTAGACCCTTGGCTCAGTTTTTTGTTCAACAAGGTATTCATTTTCGCCACTCTTGCCCTCACATGCGTCAGCAAAACGGTAAGATTGAACGTAAACATCGCCATGTGATAGAAACGGGGTTGACTTTGCTGGCACAAGCTTTTCTTCCACTTCG